TTGAACAGTCATCTCTGACTCTGAGGTACTGGCGATGCTATGTCTTTACTATTGTCTTTTGTCTGTACCTCCTCTCCTTACTTATCAGTTATGACAAGTTCTTTAATCATTTCAAATCTTTTTATCACAGTTTTTTGTAAAGTTTGAATCTCTTGATCTGTGAATATTTTTAATGATTTGATGAAATCAATTTCTGGTTTTCATTCTGCACATGTGAATCCAGGTTTTTAATTTTCCATTCATCCTTAGAGATTTTTGGATGGCGTGTGGACTGCCTTTCAGGAGGAATGCTCTATCTGCTAGCTTGTCATAGCTTTTTAACAGATTGATTGTCAATGTGAACAGTATGAATTCTTTCAAATAACTTCTCGTTACCAGTCTGTAAAGTCTGTATCATTTCCATAACTTTTTCATTCTTGATTCATGTTATCAATGTTATCAAACCATTTCTTTAAGGATGTAATATAAAGTATCAAACTAATCGCAGCTATGGCTAAAAATGTATAATCCTAGGTAGGTCATATACCTCTCCTAGAATTCAATACATAGTAAAAAGGAAAAGGATGGTAATATTATCTGCAACTATTTTGGGAGTGATTTACAAATTGCATTCTAATTTCAGATGACTTGCCTCTGTTACAAGTCACTACTGAGATGTATAAGGATGCTGGCCAGCTTGCGTGTCAGTTGTACCACCAGAGTGGTCCTGGGATGCTGCAGGCAGTGAAGAGAACTGAATGGGCATGATGGGGCAGCTGGAGCTCAGCTGTGGAGCAGGGGCTTAGGTCACATGGGTGTTGGGTGCCGGGATGTAATGTAGTTATAGGAGGTCCTCGTGAGCCCATAGTAAAGGATAACAAATGTTCATTGGGGAGCACTTATGATAAGAAAACTGCTGTGTTCCTCTGCTCTGTGGGCACTGGGACCTGCGAGCCAAACTCTGACCATAAACCAAGGGAAAAGAACAAGCACACTTCTTGCTGTGCTTAGAGTACCTTAGATTACATCCTAATGGACTAGTATCCAAAAGGCTCTTGGCTGAATGACTTCTCACAAAAACTAGGCAAGCAAAGCATACGGCAGTGACTAAGAGCAGAATATTATTAATAGTAACTCTGTATGTGTACCCTTGTTTTCTTCTTTTAGGAGACGGGATCTCACTTTGTAGGCCATACTGGTCTTGAACTTAGAGATTCACTTACATCTGCTTACCAAATGCTCTGATTAAAAGAGTGTACTACCATTCCCAGCCCAATATGTTATAAATATTAAGGCATTATTTTAAACTAAGATTATGCCAGGGATAGAAAATTATATGTATTTTCTGTTTTTATAGCTAAGACCCAGGCTTAAATTAAATAAAATGCCCAAATTGGTGGTGGCACATAATACCTTTAATTCCAGCTCTCAAGAGTCAGAGGCAGGTGGATGGATCTATGTGAGTTCAAGGCCAGACTGGTCTTCAGAGGGAGTTCCAGGACATCAAGGGCTAATAAAATCTCAGAGATAAAAATTGAGGTTCAACCTGAAGTTCAGAAAAGCAAAACAGCCAGCCACAAGCTCTTACTTCACCCTCAGTCCGAAAATGGCGATCCTTCCTCCAGGAATCTCAGAATGAGACTGAGAGTTGTCTCCTCCCATTTTATAATCCTCTTTAGGACATGGATTAAGGTGTGCACCACTGGGATTAAAGGCATGCACCATCTGGTTTCTATGGTGAACTAGTGTGACTGCTGGGATTAAAAGGTGTGTGTCACCTCTGCCTGGTCTATAAGACTGACCAGTAGGGCTGTTTTACTCTGTTCTTCAGGTAAGCTTTATTTATTAAAATACAAATGAAATGCCACTACATTTCCCCTTTGTGTCTAACATTTTAAAAAGACTATAACTAATGAAAGAAAAATTATAAACAATAAGTACAGTATATACAATATATACAGGTAATAAATACATCAACAATGTCTAGGCCATTTGCTTTTGATAAATTCACAGAAAATACTCCATATCTATCCTATCTTTGTGAGTCCAAAGTCTTGTACTTAATTTATTTTCTGTCATGACTTGCTTTCTGTGTCAGGTAAATAAGGAAAAGTATAACTATCTAGTCTTCAACTCCTTCAGAGTCCCAAGAAGGAAATATATTAACTGAGTTGTTGTAGGAGCCTGCTAGTTCCCAACCTCTCCTCACGTCCTCACCAGCATGAGCTGTCATTTGCTTTATTGATCTTGGCCATTCTAACTATTAGAAGATGGAATCTTAAAAGTAGTTTTGATTTGCATTTCCCAGATAACTAAGGATATTGAACATTTCCTTACAGGTTTCTCAGCCCTTTGTCTTTCTTTCGAGAACTTTCAGCCTAGTTCTATACCCCAGTTTTAAACTGGATTATTTGTTTCTTGATTTTTTTTCTTTCTTCCTTTTTTTTTTTTGATATTTTAGATATTAGTCCTTTACTGGATATAGTAGGTAAGATCTTTTTACATTCTGCATCTTTCTGCTTTGCTCCAGTGATATATCCTTGTCATGCAGAAGCTTTTCAGGTTCATGAGGTCCCATTATTTGTTGTTCTTTGTGCCTGTGTTGATGGTGTCCTGCTCAGAATATTTTTTCTTGTGCCAATGAGTTCAAGCCCATTCTCCACTTTCTTTTTTGTCAGATTCAGGGTATATGATCTTTTGTTTTGTTTGGTGTTGAGTTTTGTATGGGGTGATAAATATGGATTTATTTGCATTCTTCTTCACACAGCCATTTAGTCTACCAGCACCCGTTATTGAAGATGCTGTCTGCTTCCAGTGTGTATTTCTTGCTTCTTTATAAAAATATCATGTGTCCATAGGTGTGTGGATGTAAGTCTGGATTGCCTGGCTGCTCCTGGGCTGAGGGTGATGATGGTATGGTTGTAATGGCGCACAGGAAGAATGAGTGTTGCCTGCCCGAGTCTTACCCTCCCTGGCAGAGATGCTTCTTGGTATCAGAGACTGACACAGGAATGAAGGTGGACTGGACGGAAAGGCTGGGAAGGTCTGCAGGGAAACACTCGGTTGATTTATTTCTGTGTGCATAGGTAGGTGTGTGACATGTGTCATGGTGCACATGTGCAGCTGAAAGGACAGATGGTGATGATCAGTTCTTTTTTCCCGCCGTAGTGGTCTCAGGGATTAAACTCATGTTGTCAGGCTTGGCAGCAAGTGTGTTTTCCTATTGAATCATCTTTCCAACCCTTTTTAGTGGACATTTTTAGAGGCATCTCAAACTCAGCCAACACTTTCATATATTTTCTTATAAGTCTGCCCTTCCTGTCTTTCTAATATAATTGCTCAAACCAGAAGGCTGTAGCATTATCCTCTTCTGTGTTATCCAGTTTTCTAGCAGGTCTTGTCAACCTTATTTCTGAAACATATTCTAAAACCCACGGACCTGTTACCACTGTGCACAGTCCATTGTTGTTTCTTCTGTGGGGTATGAATGGGTCTTCATAATGGGCTCCTATGGTCTCATTTATTGCTAATCCACTTTCCACAGGATTCATTATGTTTCTGATTTCAAACATAAATCATATCATATTGATTTCTTTTTAGATTTCTGATAGCTTTCTAAAACATTCTCAGTAAAATCTTAAGTCCTTTGGAAATGAAAAACTGAAGTATTGAGACACAATTTCATTACTCAGTAGATCAGCCCTTGCATACCAAGTGTTGGGAAATATGTAGAGAAGTGAAATTCTGATTCATTGCTGATAGGAAACAAAAGTGGTGATAGCCACTGTGGGAAAATAATTGCAATTTCTCAATGAGTTAAATATAAAATTATCATTTAGTATAATAATTTCCTAGTTATATCTAAAAGCATTGAAGGTGGATATTTAAACAAAAATTATACAAATGTTCATAGCACCTCTGCTCATAATAGCCAAAAAATGGCAAGAAACCAATTTGCCACAATGATGAATGAATAAAGAAAATATGATGTATCCATAAAAGGAGTATTATTAATTCAGAAAATGCACTAAAATAGTGATAATCCATGCTATAAAGTAGAGGAACACTAAGAGCATTATGCTAAGAGAAGCTAGACACATTTAGTAAAATTTGGTTGTATGAAATTTCTAGAATTGATAAGTTCATAGAGATAGGAAAGATTGATGGTTGTCAGGAGCTAGAAGACAGAATATGAGAAAAAAAATGATCCCTGAAGCATATGGTATTTCCTTTTGTTGTACAAAAAAATGTACTGCAAGGCTGGAGAGATGGCTCGGTGGTTAAGAGTATTGCCTGCTCTTCCAAAGGTCCTGAGTTCAATTCCCAGCAACCACATGATGGCTCACAACCATCTGTAATGAGGTCTGGTGCCCTCTTCTGGCCTTCAGGCATACACACAGACAGAATATTGTATACATAATAAATAAATAAATAAATATAAAAAATGTACTGCAAATGGATAATGGTGATGCTGCATAACATTGCAAATGCAGTTAGTTCAGGTGAATTATGCACTTTCAAATGGCTAATAGGCTATTTTATGCTTGTTTTACCACAGAACACAGTTTTCAAAAACTCAGGTCTATAGAATACCAAGCCCTATATAAGGTTCCTAATTTCCTGGCCTCATTTCATACTGCCTTTTTCTGTTCTGTTTTGGTGTGTGTGCATGCATGTATGATGGGTGTGTGTGCATGTTCCTACATGTGGAAGCACATGGTGTGTATGGATGCAGGTAGAAGTCAGAGTGATGTATGTATACGTCTTCCCCAGTTCCTCTACACTGTCTATATTAGGATAAGCTGCCACCGTAATTGCTCAGAGAACCCATTTCTGTGTGAGTTGACTTTTGTTTTCAGTCACTTTTTTTATACATTGTTCCTTTGATTTAAATCCTATCAGTCTGAATTAACTACAGTCTGTTGCTTTAATTTATGGGAAACAATAACTCAGTTTACCTACCTTTAAAAATTATAGTACTTATATTATCTGCTTTATCTTTTTCTTTTGACAAATTTTAGAGAATGTAAGATGGAAATTGAAGACAAAAAACAAGAACTCGTTGAAATGGATCAGGCGCTTAAGGAGAGAAACTGGGAGCTAAAGCAGAGAGCAGCTCAGGTTGTTTTTTCCTAATTATATTTGAATAAAAATTTCTACCATGGGACAATTATGAAGGGTTTTAGAAGTCACCAATTTTTGTTTCTGGTTATAAATATTTGTAAAGTTAGAAATAAATAGATTTTTTAGTTTATAGTCCTCCAAATGCTGGCAGTGTAGATGCCTGGCTGAAAGTTCTTTACCATGAAACTTCAATTTAGCCTGACCAGTAAGTTTTGTGTGTAAGGGTTCGCTTGCTACCCTTTAGATTTTTTTAAATTCTGTATCAAAGAATATGCAGTTGAACATGTTGCTGTGACCTAAATGTTGGAGAAACAAAGCATTATTTAGCAGTTTTTATTCCAATTAAATTGAAACCTGAGTCATTTTCTCTTATTTTCCATTTTAACTTTCTATAATGTATAATACATATGGAATTCAAATCCTACTTGAAACAATGCTTTATTTGGGATAAACTTATCATTTGTTGATAAAAATACCTGTTGTAAAAGTATGTTCCAACCACACCAGTGTTTGCATTGTGATAAAATGGAACAACTAGCTTGATATTTCTTGTATTTAGGTTACACATTTGGATATGACCATTCGTGAGCACAGAGGAGAAATGGAACAAAAAATAATCAAGTTAGAGGGTACTCTGGAGAAATCAGAATTAGAACTTAAGGAATGCAACAAACAGGTAATTATCTTAAAATTTCATGTTTTAAATTGTTTAAAAATTAACACCATTAAAATCAGAGTGTTCTTGTTGTTTGTGATGACGCCTGTTGCTGTGCTGCCCAAATTGACCTTGAATTCCTGTGCCCAGTCACCCCACACATAACACTGTAGGACCCAGGGCAGCTTGGTACACACCTGCCATGACAGGCTCTATAGACCAACAGGAAGGTAGGCCTGAGTCTCAGTTTATCCTAAGGCAAACCTGGTTCCAAGAAAGATCACAAACTGAGACCACCCACCCTTCACCCAGTAACAGATTATCCAAAGAAAGTTCCTAAGTTGATGTCCCTTAGCCCAGCACACACCCATCTCCTGTTTGTCAAGGCATCCCTAGACAAATGTCAGCCCATCAGGGGTCCTGGACCTTAGAAATTCCTCTGCTCTTATAAAAACCCACCCCAACTCAGGGCTCTCTGATTGCACCAATACGTTGGGCATGCGGAGTCCGAGTTCACGAACTTGAGTAAGAGTAAAGGCTCTTTGCTTTTGCATATGGGACTCAGTCTCCTTGTTGGTTTTTGGGGGACTCTGCAGATCTCGGCATAACAATACTGAATATGGTTGTATTTTATAGAATGCACGTGATAGAAACACTGGATACGTTTATTAGTCTTGTGTATTCTACTTTACTATTCATTTTGTCAATATATGTATATACTTACCACAATATGTACATGTTTGATTAGCTATAAAATATTACTGGGAGGATTTATAAGTAATTCTAGAATCTAATTGAAAGAAATCATGTGGGAAGGAAGAACTGTGTTCTCTATATTTTTATCTTACATGTATATTTAAAATTATAAAGTGTTTTATTTGTTTAGTGTACTTATATAAAATACTGATAGAAACATTTGTTGATGGGAGGAAGTATGAGACTTATTCATAAAATAAGCCAAGGAATGCTAATATAAAAGGAATGGATAAAAAGAATTTTAAAAAATGAGAGACAATGGTACTTGTAGCCATAGGATAAGCCCATATTCTCATAAGCCTTAAATGAAGTTGGAGTATTTGATTCCTCATGTATGATAAGTCATCATTGGAAAAGAAACAGAGGGCTAGTATGTTTGTGTATCATCTACCCAGAAGGGGGCACTAGATTCCTTAGAACTGGAATTATGGTTGTGAGATGTCATGCAAAAGCAGAAAACTGTGCTCTGAACCACTGTGCCATCTCTTTAGTGTTATGATTTGTGGTGGCAGGTGACCCGAGGCTGCAGTGGTAGGAGACAGACAATTATGCCATGTGGCGAGAGCTTGGGCATAGAGTTTATTTAGTGAGTATTGGGAGCTTATAAGGGAAAGGGGTTATGGAGGCAGGGAGGGAGAGAAAGGGGGGGACAGAGAAAGAGAAAAGAAGAGGGAGGAAGAGGGAGGAAGGGAGAAGCAGAGGTTGCCTGATGTGAGGTGTCCTTCTATATATGTGTTGCTCTATATATATGGTTGATGAATACAGCTTTTTGGGCCAGTGGCTTAGAAGAGTAAAGCCAGGTGGGAAATCAGGAGCGAGCGAGCGAGCGAGCGAGCGAGAGAGAGAGAGAGAGAGAGAGAGAGATATGCCATGTAGATGCTGAAGGAGGCATACACTGGAACTTTACCCGGTAAACCACAGCCTCATGGCAATACACAGAATAATAGAAATGGAGCCGGGCATAGGTGGTGCACGCCTTTCATCCCAGCACTCGGGAGGCAGAGGCAGGCGGATCTCTGTGAGTTCGAAGCCAGCCTGGTGTACAGAGCTAGTTCTAGTGCAGGCTCCAAAGCTACAGAGAAACCCTGTCTTGAAAAATAAAAACAAACAAACAAACAAACAAACAAACAAAAGGATAATAGAAGTAGGTTAAATTAAGATGTAAGAGTTAGCTAGGAATACGTCTAAGCTACTGGCCAGACAGTGTTGTAATTAATATAGTTTCTGTATGATTATTCGGGTGTGGGAGGCTGAGAAACAAACGAGCAGTCTATGGATACAGCTTCCTCTTTAGAAGAACAGACAGAGAAAGAGGAAGGGAAATCAGCTTGCATCAGCGGGAAGGAGGAGATTGGGAGTGGGCGGATCTTGACTCTTAAGTGAACAGGGTGCTCAGGTGATAGGGCAGGCCAGCAGAATTATAATATTTAGCCCCAGAAAAATAATTTTAAAATTTTGATTTTAGGTATTTTTGTTGTTATTCTTATTTTTGCAACAGGGTCTTGCTGTGTAGTGTAAGCTAGCTTTGAATTTATTACCCTCCTGTTCCACTTCCAAACTGCTGTATTGTATGTGTGAACCTCCATGTTCTGCCTTCTTTTAGATATTTTGTACATAAGTGGCTGGTTTCACTTAGAACACAGCTAGGAGTAATTCTATTTTCTTAGTTGTGTTAATAATGATCATCTGCTTGAAATTCAGGTAGAAAGTTTAAATGAAAAGTTGCATAATGCCAAAGAACAGCTTCGGGAGAAGGAGTTTATAATGCTCCAGAATGAACAGGAGATAAGTCAGCTGAAAAAGGAAACGGAAAGAACACAACAAAGGATGAAAGAAATGGAAAATGTAAGTAAATTATTTTCACATAAGGGAAGAGTAATGAATATCTTTTAGATGCCCTGTTCTATTTATTTATTTATTTATTTTTAATACCTTGGTTTTAAAATACAGAAACTGCTCCAGCTTTTTAAAAGCTAATTATTTGTGCCAGATGCTATTAGTTCTTTTGATCTTTAAAAAGATTTTATATGTGAAGCATGATCATAATTAGTCTTAATAATAGAAACCTGGAGTCAGATATTAGGTAAGTTGAAAGATCAGAAACTTCTTGCCTCTACTAAATCTAAGACCTAAGGGGAGCTCTTGTCTCTCTGAATCCTCAGACTGAATTGGGCTGAGATCCTATTTCTACCTCCCTGGTGCTGGGATCAAAGGTTTGAGCCTCCCATGTGCTGGGGTCAAAGGCTGTTCCTCCCATGTGTTGGGGTCTAAGGCATGCTCCTCCCATGTGCTGTGGTCAAAGGCTATTCATCTTTTAGACCGGTTCAGTCTCCTGTAGCCCAGGTGAAAAATCTTTACAGGGTACAAGAACCCCACAGCAATCAAACAGTTTCATACTGTGAAATTTTCTCTCTGCCAAAATAATATTCACAATGTGTTTTGGGGGAGGCATGGGGAGTTTTATCATGAACTTTAGTTTGTCTAAGTGGAATTAGTAATAAAAACTCAGAGTCAGATATAGTGGTTAATGCTAAAGATCAGAGACACAGAGAGTCCAGCCATTAAGAGTTATTTTACCTGTACTGATGCTCAGACCAAAGGGGTGATCCTGTCCTCAGAGTCTCTTCTCAGACTGCTCCTGTCTCCTTCTACCTTATATTCCTCTCTCTGCCCAGCCATATCACTCCTGTCTCCACCTCCCTAGTGCTAGGATTAAAGGCGTGGGATCCCAAGTACTGGGATCACCGTTGTATGAGCTCTGTTTCTCTTGTGTAGCCCAGGGTAGCCTTGAAGTAACAGAGATCGATCCTTCTGCCTGTCTCCTGAGTCCTGGTATTAAAGGTGTGTGCCACTACTGCCTGGCCTCTAGAGGCTTAGCTCTGCCCTCAGATCTTCAGACAAGCTTTATTTGTTAAAACATAAACACAATATCACTACAGGGAGTATTTCAGATTTTGCGTTTCCAGATAAGAAATACGTAACCTGTCATTTACTAGGAGTTTAAGTAATTAGTAACATTTCAGAGGAAATAATAGCTGCAGTGATGTTTCACCTTCATAGAGAATCCACAACTCAGCTGTATAGATCAATTGTGAGTTTTAATTCTATATTTCATGGCAGTATTTACTTATTATTTATTTAGGAGTATGTACTCATGTTTGTGTAGGCCTGAAAACAGTCTTGAGTGTTATTCCTCAAGAGGTCATTTCTCAGGAGCAATCTACTTGTTGGTTTGATTTTTGTTCTTTTGAGACAGGGTCTTAGGTAGCTCAGACTAGTTTTGAACTCCCTGTGTAGTAGATGATGACCGTATGCTCTTTTCTGGTCTCCTTTTCCTACATTAGTAACATACTTGGTTTTATTTGTTAGTATACAGGCCCACTTTGGCCCTGCCCCTTGGGCACAGCCACCCCTCTGCTAGGGCACTGTTTGCAGGTGCGAGGCCCTTATAAGAGAAGCTCTGCCCACACCCAATCTATCTCTTCCTGCCTTCCTCTGTCTCTCCCCTTCTTCTTTCCTCCCACTTTCCCTTCCCTCCCACTTTCCCAATACATTCTTCCCAAACAAACTCCACATCTCTGCATTTTCTGTGACCATTAATCATTTATTTATTTATTTATTTATTTTAGATGTATTTATTTATTATGTCTTCAGTGTTCTGCCTGCATGTGTCCCTGCAGGCCAGAAGAGGGCACCAAATCTCACTACAGATGGTTACGAGCACATGTGGTTGCTGGGAATTGAACTCAGGACCTTTGAAAGAGCAGGCAAAGCTCTTAACCACTGAGCCATCTTTCCAGCCCCCCATTAATCATTTATAACCAACCCTTTTAAAATAAAGACAAACTTTTATAAACAATCATTTTGGGAGTTTGGGTATAGTTTTCTCCAAAGTGCTTCCTGCTTTTTGCGGGGGGGCAAAGTATTTTTTAGGGTTCATAAAAGATATTTCAGGGGGGTCTTACTCTGTCAAGCCACATTAGCCTGGGATGAATCCACAGGTTCTCATCTTCTGTGGAAACAAAAGCAAAACTCTTTTCCAAAGTAACACGTCCTTAGACTTAAATTTTGAAGTTAAAATACTTTTAAAATAAATATTTTGTTTTAGCTTATCAGCACATACAATGAAATGTCTCTATGTAGTTAGCTCATTCACAGTCAAAATATTCAAAGAAAACACAAAAATATACATAATTCAGACTTTTGTCTATTTCTTCTTTTTTTTTTTTGGCTTTGGTTTTGACTTTTTGAGACACGGTTTCTCTGTAGTTTGGGGGCCTGTTCTGGAACTAGCTCTTGTAGACCAGGCTGACCTCAAACTTACAGAGATCTGCCTACCTCTGCCTCTCTAGTGCTGCACCGCCTGGCTGTATTTTCCAACTTTACATGGCCTTTTTTATACTCTATTTCTTTTATTTTTATTTTTTAAATTTTTTTTTTCAGACAGGGTTTCTCTGTGTGTCTTTGGCTGTCCTGGATCTCACTCTGTAGACCAGGCTGTCTTTCTACTCACCAAGATCTGCCTGCTTTCGCCTCCCAAGTGCTGGAATTAAAGGCATGTGCCACCATACCCAACTACTCTATTTCTGTTTTTTTTTTTTTTTTTTTTTGTAAACCGTTTAGAGTTTATTTTTTGTCTGAATCTGTTTTTACTGTATATCTTTATCTTTTTCTGATCCCTTGAGTCTTTAATTTGCTAAATGATATGGGTTAGCAATGTGGCTTAGCATGTGTTGGTGCATTAAGGCTTTTAAAAATATTAACTTCTAGTAGGAGATGCTCATTTTATTGTAGTTTTATAAAGATAATTGTAGGGAAATTCTCTTTGAAAATAAAGAAGCAAATTGTAACTGTATACTTCATAACTATATATTTCATTTTGAAACTCACAACTGTTTTATGCTTTTCAGGTTATAAAAGAACAAGAAGAGTACATTGCTACCCAGTACAAGGAGGTCACTGATTTGGGGCAGGAACTGAGGCTGACCCAGGAGCAAATGCAGAACTTCCGTTCAGAACTGGTGGAGGCTCGTCGCCAAGAAGTCCAAGCACAGAGAGAAATAGAAAGACTCTCTGGCGAATTGGAGGATATAAAGCAACTCTCTAAAGAAAAGGTAATCCTATTCTAAATAGTTTATTTTACTGAAGAAGTTTTAAATTTTAACTCCTTTTTAACAGAAGGCAGATAGTAATGCCCATCACTGAACCGCCAGTGCTTAACCTTCGTATTTTGTACTGTGTTCCACACAGTGTGGTGTGTTTAAGCTTACCAAACTGTCTGCTTAGAAATGGCTAGAATAGTAGAACCAGGTGTGGCGGTCCACATTTGTAATCCCAGCATTTGGGCAGCGACTAGCAAAGGCTTCACTGTGGCGTGCTATCTAAAAAGTAGTTGCTTTCATGTTATGTACGCAAAGGCTTCACTGTGGCGTGCTATCTAAAAAGTAGTTGCTTTCATGTTATGTACATGCTACCACAGGTTTCTTAAAGCAAACGTTTAACTGTGTTATACTTAGATTTTAAATTATTTGTAATATAATATTTTATAATAAAAATCCTTCATAACTGAACTCTTGCTACTCTAGTTCTCAATCAATTGAGTTATTTAGCATGTTCAGATTTGCATGTGCTTGAACCTTCTTCTAAATAAAAACCTCATTTAGTTCTCTGTGATGAAAGTATATTAAAAATCAAGATTACTAATAAAAGGTTTATTTCCTTAGAAGTTAACAACTCATTTAAAGAGTATTTAGATTGATATACTTGGGTTAATTATTAGACCTTGAGAAAAGACTTTATTTTTATTCTGAAAGTCTTGTTAAGTTTTCTGCTTTCTCTTATGCTAACTAATTCATCATAGGTATATAGTTAAAAGATTTTTACTTTTAGTTTTTGTTAGGCTTAGTTATATTTTTATTCAAATTTCTGGATATTAGAGCAATTAAGCATATATAGGAAAACTTATTAGGAATATAACAGATATTTGGGTGTTTACATAAAAAGGGAAGATATCTACTTTTATCTCATTTTGGTCCTTTGTTGATAATTTCTGAGTTTAGTATAATTTGTTTTATTTGATAAGATAAACTCAGTTCTCAAAATGAGTTTAAATGGGAGATTGCTTAGATTGAAAGTTTTATAATATTTTAATCCAAACTAAATATAGATTCATGTTTATCTTTTGGTTTGGTTCAAACCTTGATTCTTTTTATGAATAATCTGATTTGAATCTTACTTAGTTTTTTTACATAAGCTATCCTCATATTCCATATTCTGTAGTTACTTTAGTCTCCTTCAAGAAAAAGGAGAATTAAAGCAGTAGAATGTCTGACTTTGTTGTTGTTTGTAGACGGAGACTGCTCTTTCCTTTTCCAGCCATCCAGACCCGAATAATCACACAGAAGCTATAGTAATTAAGATTAGTTTGTCCTACAGTTGTTGTTGGGGATTTTATAACAGTTTTTATTGGTTCTAATTGGATAGCAAAAGTTTGTAACTTTTGTTCAGTTGTTTAAAAACTTTTAACATAGTTCTTACTTTAAAATAGTTCCATACATATTTCATCAATGTTTCCCCTTACCCATGATGGATGCATATTTCAGAGACCCAGCTTAAATTCCCTGCATCTTTATGGTGGCTAACAACTGCCTAACCTGAGAAGGCTGTTATCTGCCAAAGTTAGCCTTTTATGGGTCTTTGTTTCACAGAAGGCATTGATTAGTGAACTTATATAGCAAATAATGTACTACTGCCTTCTTTTGGTCTTCTGTGAAATGTCTGTATTTTAAAGTGTACCATATAATAAGTTAGTCTGGTGAGCAGGAGAGATGACTCAGAGGTTAAGAGCTGGCTGCTCTTCCAAAAATCTTGACTTCAATTCCTAGCAACCACGCGGTGGCTCAGAGCCATCAATAGTGGGATCTGATGCCCTCTTCTGGCATAAAGTCAGTAGAGCACCTATATACATAAAACTTTAAAAAAATGCTTGGCACATGTGTTTACATAAAGACTAGCATGTTTCCATTAAGGCTTTAAACTTATTTTGCTATACTAAACCAAATAAGCTACCTCTATAATTTATATTCAACATGTCGTTTTTATTAAGGAAGCTCATGGAAATCGTTTGGCTGAAGAATTAGGGGCCTCTCAAGTACGTGAAGCTCATTTAGAAGCAAGAATGCAAACAGAAATAAAGAAATTATCCTTAGAAGTAGACTCTCTCAAAGAAGCTTATCATATGGAGGTAAAGAAAAATACAGTTTGTGTCAGTAGCCCCCACTGAAATGAATTGACCTACTAGGATGAAAGTATAAGTCTAGTTCTTGAAGTGTTCATTATAAATTAATATAGTGTGATCTTCATTTTAAGCTAAATACATACCTTGCATTTAATATCCTTTCAGCTAAAAGACTAATAATGTGCTCTAGAGTTAAGAGGTCTAGTTCTTGAAACATGCATCCTAAGTTTCAAGCCTGTTTTAGAACTGTATGACTTTGGATAAGCTATTTAATCCTCTCAGAGATGCATATAATGATAATAGCTATCTTATAGTACTGTTATAAGGAATAAATTAGTTACTATATGTTAAGTTCTTAGATTAGAGTCTTATCATTTTTGATTATAGAACTTGTGGAAAAACAAACTGGAAATTCTTTTTTTTTTTAATATTTATTTATTTATTTATTTATTTATTTATTTATTTATTATGTATACACTATTTTGTCTGTGTGCATGTCTGCAGCCAGAAGAGGGCACCAGACCTCATTACAGATGGTTGTGAGCCACCATGTGGTTGCCGGGAATTGAACTCAGGACCTTTGGAAGAGCAGGCAATGCTCTTAACCACTGAGCCATCTCTCCAGCCCCCTGGAAATTCTTAATTACAGACAAAAACCATTTTATGTGATGTAAAAATACTGTAAAATACTTTATAATTTCTAACCTCTGATCTGATAGTAAGTTTGAGGAGCAGTACTAGAACTGTTTTATTAATATGTTCTGAATCTTTATAAAAATTAACAGTATTATTAATTAGAATATTTTTATCTGTAGTGATATTTTGTTTATGTTTTAACAAATAAATCTTGCCTTTTTAAGATCAGTGTGCAGAGCTAAGTCACTAGAGGCCAGGCAGTGGTGGCACACACCTTTAATCCCAGGGCTCAGGAGACAGATGCAAAGGGATCTCTGTTAGTTCAGGGTTACCCTGAGCTACACAAGATTGAAGCTGTCTAAGAGAGAAACAGAGCTCACAGAAAGGTGATCTCAGCAGTTGGGATCACATGCTTTTAATCCCAGCACTAGGGAGGTGGAGACAGGAATGATATGGCCTGGCAGAGAGAGGAATATAAGGTGGGAGGAAGAAGGGGCTCAGGGCAGTCTGAGGTTTGGTGGAGACAGAGTTTGGAGTTGCAGTCTGAGGATATGATCGCTCCTTTGGTCTGGGCATTGGTAGAGGTAAGAACTCTCTGGTGTCTGCTGCTCCACTTCTCTGATCTTCAGCAATAACCCCTATATCTGACTCTGGGTTTTTATTATTAATTCCAACTAGAAATTGTGCTACATTTATCCTTTTAAAACATTTGAAAAGATTACCCCAAATCTTAATTTTTTTGACGATATTTATTGAGTTTGGTGCTAAAAAATAATTTTTCTGAAAAACAAAGGCTACAAATACATTTGTATTCAGCTTTTCTTTTTTCCTTGAAACAGTGTCTCATTATGTAGTTCTGGCTATACTGAAACTCACTTTGTAGACCAGGCTGGTCTTGAACTGAGATTTTCCTGTCTCTGCCTCCTGAGTGCTGGAATTAAAGAAGTGTCACCATACCGAGTTTTTGTTAGACACCTGGGGTAGGGGCAGAGAGACTTGTAACTTATGTCTTATTTAAGTGCATTTAGATTCAGATCTCTTTAAAAACATAATGCCTGCCAAATGAAACACAGTTTGAATCTTTTTGAAAACACACTTATGAGAAGTGTTTGTAACCCTTTATCTTCAGAGGCAACCATTAGTCCATTTTAGGTATTTGTCATTTACTGTTCATATTTTCTAGTCTGTTTTCTGTAGTTATCCATTTTAAACTATTAATGTTATAAGTACCTAAAATTAATTATAAACAGATAGTTCATAAAAAAATTGCTTAAAAAATAGTTCTAGGGGCAGGAGCTATGGCTCAGCTATAAATGCTGCTTTTACTGAGGATCCAGGTTTATTTCCCAGCACCCAACTAGCATAGCAGCTCACCACTCTCTATAACTCTAATTCTGAGGTAATCTGACACCATCTTCTGACCTCCACGGGCACCAGGCATACATGTAGCAAAATACTCATACACATAAAATTCATGGCGAACGCCTTTAATCCAACACTTGGGAGGCAGACAAAGGCGAATCAGTGAGTTCAAGGCCAGCCTGGTCTACAAAGGAGTTCTAGGACAGCCAGGAATGGTTACAGAGAGAAACCCTACCTCAAAAACCCAAATAGATAGATGACGGATGGATGGACAGACACAAGTAAATAAATATATGAAATGAAAAAATAATTAAGTGAATTTAGAGTTGGAGATGTGACGTAATTGCTCTTCAGATGACCCAGGTTGATTATCAGGACCCACATCAGTGACTCACAACCACCTGTAACTCCAGTGCCTGTACCTCTGATGCTTCTGGTTTTGCAACCATTTGTTACCCTAAATACGCAGGTAGATATAGACACACAGTCACACAAGTTAAAAATAAAATATTTTAAAAAGGGATTTTAGTGTTGTTAATATGTGGGGATAATAACATTTTAAAGTATGACAAATATATATAATTTGTATAAAATATTTTTTTTCTATTTGATTGTTAACAAAGATTTAGTTTTAAAGTGTGTCGAGAGGGCCGAATCAGGCACACTTGTACATACCTGTGATTGCATCATTCAAGAGAAACAGACACAAGATTATCCTTACCTACATAGCAAGGTCTTGATGCCTTTGTGTTGGGAGCAGTGAGACCCCAGATCTTGAATTTCTTGTAATCCCCTGATCTGAGTGCCTACAGCTGCTCTGAGCACGAGACCTCCAGGAGTTCCTGATGGCAGGAGAGTGGTTTCTGGTGGGTTTGGCTGGGGCGTGGCTATCTCTATATAAGCTGCCCCTGAACACAATAAAGGAGGCATTCTTGGGGAATTCAAGGATGACCCATGTCGCTGTCTCTCTATCTGTCTGTGTCTGTGTATTTTAACCTCCAGCCCCTTGCCTGAAGCTTGCGAACTGGGTGCCAGCGCACAGAGCGCAGACACGGGTTTACATGAGACCATGTGTCAAGAAACCCTAATAAATAAGTATATAAATAAAATGAGAAGATATACTATCACTTATTTATTTTGCATCCTGACTGCAGTTTTTTTCCTCCCAGTCTTTTCCCCTACCTCCCCTCTGTTGCCACTTCCCCAGTCCACTCCTCCATTTCTGTTCAGGAAAGGGCATATATACTATCACCATATTAGCTTTAAAAGGGATTACCAGTTTTTATTTTAATTTTGTATGTACAGTGTTTTGCCTGAATGTGTACTATGGTTATGCAGTGCCTGAAAAGGCCAGAGGAGGATGTTGGATGCCCTGAAACTGGTCCTCGGGGGAATGAACCAGTCTTCTGGAAGAGCAGCCAGCGCTCTTAATTGCCAAGGCATCACACTAGCTCTAGGAATTTCTAACTTAACACTGTTTTTTCTTTCTTTAAAAAAATGTTTAGCCAACCCAAAATTAAGGTTTCAGATTTGTCAGAAAAATCATTTAGTAATTGCAAAATTAATTTGGAGTGAGAATGATTTTGTTAGTTTATATTATTTGCCAAGCATGATTTCACTTGCTACCTGGAGAAACAGCTGAAACAATGAGTCATTGCCCTTAACAACCTGCTGACTACTGCATATGCGCCTGTAAAATCTTACTTGCTTGACCACCCCACCTTGTGGTTTTAGAGTATAAAATAAGAATGCAAACCTAAACCCAGAACCAAGGCGTGTCAGGAGCTACCTGGCTTTGGTGACATCTCTGCTTTTCCGCTCTTATTGCAGTCAGTGTTTATTCCAGAATGATTCCTGCAAAGGTAGTGTTTATGGAGCAGAAACTGCTGTGTTTTAAAAGATCATATCCATTTTACTACAAGACAGTTTTACTTAAATCAGGACTATCCAACAAAAATATGTTGTTCGTAACAAATTCTCAGCTGTTCAATTTTACCAGTAAAGACTTGGGAGCCAGATTCTGGGATAAAAGGCTGCTAGCTCAGTGAGGGAGAGAAAGTACCCATCTGACCTTCATCCTCTGCCATTGTCCCGGAAGCCCTCTCCTCCTCTGCTGCCTCCAGTCCTCCTCCTCAAACTGAGTGCCCCTCACTTCTACTTCCTCTGCCTTTATCTGTCTTCCTGGCTCCTTCTTACTTAACTCTATGGTTTTTTCTTAATAATCCTACATTCACTTCCTCCCAGCTGGTTGCTTGCTCCTCTTCTTGACCTATCATTGTCTTTATTTAATCCTGTTTACAACATTCAAGTAGAAAACTCTTGGATTAAAGGTGTGTGCTAGGGTTGAGCCACACCACAACTAAAACAGGTTTTTTTTTTTTTTTTCCAGTACATAGTGCTATCTTGGGTTCACAGCATGACCACATATCCTATAACAAAAATATCCTGTTAGTTATTCATAATTTTAATTCTGGTGTGTCAATTAATTTAGGATACACATTAAAAGTCATGAGAAATTTGTTTTGTAATACATAGGGCAATGACAGCTATTCATTAGCAGCCTTTTTAAGATAAACTATTACATCTGCCCTTTCTCCCTGTCTTAGTTATGGTTACTATTGCTATGATGAAACACCATAACCAAGAGCAAGATGGAGAGGAAAGGATTTGTTTGGCTTACAGGAACTCAAACAGCACGGGAACCTGGAGGCAGGAACTGATGTAGAGGTCATGGAAGGGTGTAGTTTTCTGGCTTGCTCCCTGTGACTTGCCCCAGGAACAATGGGCTGGGCCCCCACATCAATCACTAATTAAGAAAATACCCTACAGACTTTTCTATAGCCTGGTCTAATGGAGGCATTTTCTTAATTGAGGCTCCCTCTTCTCCAGTGACTCTAACTTGTGTCAAGTTGACATAAAGTTAGCCAACACACTTCTTGATTCTGGAGATCACTTTTGTTCCACAGATGTACATTTTGGGATTCTCCAAATACTCCATCAGCTGTGTCTTGTCCTCAGACAATACCTAGTTGGCATATGATAACCTGACCTATTGTCCAAGCAGGTTATAGAGATCTGATCCAATCCTATTCTTGCCTCCCTTTCCCACAGTGTAGCCTGGGCACACTTCTGCACAAAACTCATCTTGCTGTTCTCAGCATCATCTTTGTTGTCGTTGTTATTTGTTTGTTTTATTTTCAAGACAGGTTTTCTCTGTAGCTTTGCAGCCTATCCTTGAACTTGCTCTATAGATTAGACTGACCTCGAACTCACAGAGCTCTCTGAGTCTGCCTGTCTCTGACTCCCAAATGCTGGAATTAAAAGGGTGTGCCACCACTGCCTGACGATATCATCCATTTTTAATTTGCTCCCTGGTGTTCAACACCACCATCATTATGAAGCCAGAGATGTTTCACTTTGTCTCTTGTTTTTCTTTCTTTCTTCCTTTCTTTTTCTCTTTCTTTCTTTCTCTCTTTCTTTCTTTTTTTCTTCTTTTTTTTTCATTTGGTTTGGCTTTAGCTGTTTGTTATTTGAGCCAGAGTCTCTCTGTATAAGCCCTGGATGTCCTGAAACTCACTACGTGGTCAATGTTGTCCTGGAACTCAAAGAGATCCACCTGCCTCTGCAAGACATGTGCCACCACACCCAATCCAATGTCCAGTAATTGTTCAGATTTCTCCAGTTGTCTAAAAAAATTCATTATAGTTTATTTAGGTAAATCATAATCCAAATTTGGTATATGTTTAACTGTTAAGTGAATGTAAGAATGTGTTCTTTTCTCTTTTCTCTTTGAATATTAGTGTCAAATCAGATGTTTATAGCTATAAATTTGATCTCTTAAGAAAAATAATAGTGGCAACTATTAGAATGTTGTTGAAACAACTTCACTCTATTTTCTTTTTACACTTTTGGGACTTAAAGATGATTTCACATCAAGAGAATCATGCAAAGTGGAAGGTTTCTGCTGATTCTCAGAAGACGTCTGTTCAACAGCTAAATGAACAACTAGAGAAAGCAAAACTAGAATTAGAAGAAGCTCAGGATACAGTAAGCAATTTGCATCAACAAGTTCAAGACAGGAATGAAGTCATCGAAGCTGCAAATGAAGCATTGCTTATTAAAGTAAGTAAACATAAAAGTAATGAAATAACATTGGTGAACAGTAGATTATTTTTCTTGTTCTTCTCTCTTATAGAGGTCTTCATGATGTATTATTGACTTGAAACAAAATACCTCTTCTTTAAAAGACAAAAATGAGATGTTGTTAGTATGATATGCATCATATTACCCCAAAATAATTTTCATATGTTAAATATAAACACTTCCATTTATAACATTTACTATAGTGGGTTTTATACCTGATGTGCCTTAAAAAAATTTTGAAGCATTTTTTAAAATCAGTAAAGTTCCTTTGAAAATTATAAAATAAAAATATAACATTATATTCAGAACTTCTTTTATACTGGGTTTAAATACAGATGTTTTAAAATGACTTAGGCTGTCTTTTCATCTGTTTTGATTATGGCAGTTTGGAGTTTGAAATTAACAGTATGGATATTTAAGTACTCATTTAAAACTGCTAATGAAGTAAAGTTATCATTGAAACCTTTACAAAAGAATAAAATAGTAGCAAAGTAGAAGTTACTAAAAAAGAAATAAAACTAACAATACCTTATATATATTTCTAGTTCTGTACTTAGTTGAGTCATTCTTTTATAGTACAGTTTATATTTATAGTATTATGTACATATGAATAGACATGATCTAAAATTATATTTAGGACCTGGTAACACAGCTCAGTGTCATAGTTTGTGCTTAGCATGTAGGATGCTCTGGATTCAGTATACTGCATTAATAGAATGTGTAGGCTAAACATTATGTATGTGTATGTTTGCATGTGTATGTATGTTTGGCCAGGCAGTTGGGAAGCATGCCTTTAATCCCAGCACATGGGAGGCAGACAGGTGGATCTCTGAGTTCAAGACCAGACTGGTGTACAGATTGAGTTCCCAGACAATCAGAACGCAGAGAAATTCTGTATTGAAAAACAAGCAAACAAAAAAGAATGAGCACTATTGGTGCTTTTATTAAGATGATATTCCTACTGCTGGGGTTATAGCTCAGCGATAGAACATTTGGCCAGCATGCATCATGTATGAAGTCCTAGGTTGAGCGTCTGGTCAAGCCACTTTTTTTTAGTGTTCTGGAAGTTTATAAAATTTGCACAAAATTAAAGATCTTCATTGTAAAAAGAAAAACCTTCAAATATTATAATAGTCTACATTGTATCCCTAGTTAGTGTAATTATTTTGCTTACTCACTAATTACTCTCCATGAAATTAGTGCAATTTGATTGCTGGTGGCAACCATTCACATTTTAAGTTTGGGTATTTATGAAACTGCCAAAATATTGATTGAATGGTAGCATTAATTTAAAAAGAGAAGCAGTTCATGTCTACAGAGTGTGTTCCAGGACAGCCAGGGCTACACAGAGAAACCCTGTCTTGGAGAGAGAGAGAGAGAGAGAGAGAGAGAGAGAGAGAGAGAGAGAGAGAGAGAGAGAGAGAGAGAGAGAGAGAGAGAGATTATGTTTTACCTCTGAGCATTCTAGCTGCATATATATGTGCACACCATGTGCATACAGTGCTCACAGAGGCCAGAGACAGAAACAGATTCCCCAAACTGGAGTCATCAATGATTGTAAACCTTCTTGTGGGTACTACAAACCAAAGAAGTTCTTCCGCAAGAGCAGCAAGTGTTCTTACCTGCTGAACCATCTTACCTGCTGAACCATCTTTTCACCCATCTGAATAGTAGCTGTTCTTGAATAAGCCATAGATAAAGAAATCTTAGAGAATGTGTTGTAATTAGTTAATGTAGCTAATGTAGAGTGATAACTAGTTTTAAAACAGAATTTCTTTCATGGTTGACATAGCTCTCAAAGTCAATCCTAGCTAGCTTTAATGTAAAGAGTACAAAAGAGGAAAAATAAAGGCTGCTAATCTAAGAATTTCGAAGGTGTAACTGTAGCAATTAGAAGTAGGTGTAAGTTGTTGTGGGAATGTAGCTCAGTGGGAAGAGTGTTTGTATAGCGTGCACAAAAGCCCTGTCTTTGATCCTGAGCACCACTTAAAACCAGGTGAACTGGTGTACACCTGTAGTTCCTGCACTTGGGAAATCCAGCTCTAAGATTAAAATCTTTAACATTAAAATATTCTATGTGGGGCTGGAGAGATGGCTCAGTGGTTAAGAGCATTGCCTGCTCTTCCAAAGGTCCTGAGTTCAATTCCCAGCAACCACATGGTGGCTCACAACCATCTGCAATAAGGTCTGGTGCCCTCTTCTGGCCTTTGGCATACACACAGATAGACTATTGTATAAATAATAAATAAATATTTAAAAAAATATTCTATGTGGGAAATCTAGTTTTTATGAAATTAGAATATTGGAAGCAATTTTCAGATGAAAATATATAATTCTTTCTAAATGGCAGCTATCTTTAGCAGTAGAAGGTTTGAAAAACACTTGTAAATTTCTCATGAGTTTCCATACTGAGACAAAGGCTCATCAAGGTGACTTTTTGTTTTTTGCTTTTTTTCAAGACAGGGTTTCTCTGTAACTTTGGAGCCTGTCCTGGTACTCACTTGGTAGACCAGCCTAGCCTCGAACTCATGGAGATCTACCTGTCTGTGCCTCACGAGTGCTGTGATTAAAGGCATGCGCCACCACTGGCTGGCCCAAGATGACTTCTAAGAACCTATGATTTTATAGTAGTTTATTAAACAGAAATATATTGAGTATGTATTATGTACTGATTTTTCTACAGGAATCGGAATTAACCAGATTGCAAGCCAAAATTTCGGGACATGAAAAGACAGAAGACCCCAAGTTTCTCCCAGCTTCATTTACAGCTCTAACAGAAATTATGCCTGATAGTCAAGATCCTAAGTTTGCCAAACATTCTCAGATATCATTCTTCAAATGCAGAAAACTGCGTCGCTCTATTAGTGCCAGTGACCTTAGTTTTAAAAGTCATGGCAACGAAGATCTCTCTGAAGAATTGCTACAGGACTTAAATAAAATGCAATTAGAACAGCCCTCAGCATCAGGAGGTGGTCGTAAAGCCCTAGCTTTCAACCGTTCAGATTCCTCTAAACCTCTCCCATATAACCTGGAAGATGATAGTTCTGAAAGTAATGACTTTAGTACTCTTAGTGGAATGCTAAGATATATAAACAAAGAAGTGAGATTGTTAAAAAAGTCTTCTCCGCAGACAGCTGCTGGTTTAACTCAGGTATGTATTTCACACATTACCAGATAAGTTATTTGTACCAGGCATATTGTTGCATACCTGTGATCCCAGCACTTAGGAGAGAGAAGAAGGAGAATTGTTGGGTTCAAGATCTTCATGGGGCGGTGGAGGGGAGAAAAGGTAATATTTTTTCTTCAATGGATATTATTTTATTACTTGAGGGAAAAAAATCCCATATAGGGTTTGGAGAGATGGCTCAGGGTTAAGAGCACTGACTGTTCTTCCAGAGGTCCTGAGGTCAGTTCCCAGCAACCACATGGTAGCTCACAACCATCAGATGCGCTCCTCTGGCCTGCAAGCATACATGCAGAAAACACTATATACATAATAAAAATTTTTTTTTTAAAAAAATCCATATAGATTGATCCTCTCTCATCCAAAGTGTTTGAGACCAGAAGTTTCAGGCTTCCTCAGATTGGAGATATTTGCATAGTATCTGGGAGATATTAATGAGCAAGTGAGTTTCTGAAGATGAAGTTTAGAATTTATTTATCATTAACAGATAGATGATATTTAAAGCCATAATGCTGGGTTAAACCAGTGGGATAAATTGAGACAGAAACAGTCATTTCCTAAGTATTTTGCTCTAAGGAAGTGTTCAAGAATTGAAGATTCTAGGATGGAAATGTAATTCGGTTGATAGGGTATCTGCCTAGTATGACCGAAGTCCTAGGTTCACTCTCCGGCTCTGTGTACACTGGGCATTCATTCACCTTTATAGGATTATTAGATGGTAGTACATAATAATATTATATATTATTGTTATAGGATTATTCCTGGCACCTGGGAGCTGCTAGGGCCAGAGTTTATGGTTGTCCTAGGTTACTGAGTAAGTTCCAGGCCATCCTTAGCTACAGGAGATATTGTTCAAAAACAAAACAAAATAAAATAAACAACAAACCATCCAACCAAACAAAAACAACTTGGGAGGCAGAAGCAAGGTGTATCTCTGAGTTCCAGGACAACCAGGACTAGATAGTAAAACCCCCACCCCCAACCATCTGAAGGAGGGAGGGAGAGAAAATTCAAGATTCAATATGGTTAACTGGAAAACAATTCTTTTATGAAATAGAAGAAAAAAATAAAAGTACAAAATTGTTCACAAGCCTTACTGGAAACAAAACATGTTAAGGAGATCAGGAGGCCAGGCTGTGTGAGTATGAAAACAGTGGCGGGAGAGAAATTTCTTTATTGATTGTCTCTGTGAAAACAACTTTTTCTATCTAAATCAGGGTAAGGTAATGGAAGTTTGAGGGTTTTGTTTTGTTTTTTGCTTTGTTTTGATTTGTTTTTGACTATCTGTCTAGGCAGCCTGGCTGGGCTCCAACCCCCAGAGATCCCAAATGATAATTAGTGCTACAGATACACAAGACTGGTTTTGGTAAAAATAATGATATTTTATACAGGATAAATCTGACCCCAAAATGATAAATTTGTAATTATAACATATAGTATTGACTATATACAAGGTACTATTCTAAATTCTTAATATAAACTCAATCCTTCAAACAACCCTGTGATATATACTATTATATCAGTAATAGTAACTAATACTGCTTAGTATTTCTTCTATTGTAGTGATATTATTATCTCCATCGTATCAATGAAAGTCTGAGTCCCTGCTCTTACCCACTGTGCTCTATTGAGAATATTAGTGAATAGTGATCCTACATGTTCTGGCCTTGACACTGCTTTCTCAGATGGGGTTCAGAGAGAACTTCAGCTGGGTTTGGTGATCCATAACTTTAATTCCAGCACTGGGAAGACAGAGGCAGGTGGATTTCTCTGAATTAAAGGCAGCCTGAGCTACATAGTAAGACAGTGTAGAAAGAGACAGGGGAGAGGCAGACACTTGAAAATACTGTACAACTAATAAAATTATTTCTTATTCTGTACACCATTAAACTGTACACATGTACTTTTATGTCATCTTACCTATTCAATTGTCATGAAAGTTTGGTGCCAAATTAAAATATTCAAAATACTATAGCTGTTTTTTTAAATTAGTTTTTTCAAGATAGGATTTCTTTGTGTAGCCCTGGCTGGCCTGGAACTCACAGAGATCTGTCTGCCTTTGCCTCCCAAGTGCTGGGATTAAAGCTGTGCGCCCCACCACCCAAGTGCCAGTTCTTAAATTTAGAATTGGATTCATAAACCCTAATGTTGAGTTCTGTACTCAGATGTTTTGTTTGTTGTAAATGATGTTCTACTGAGTTTTAATGCATTAACCACGTACTTAGAACTTTATACTCATGTAGTTCAGGAGGCTTGATTGCTTTGACTGTGTTGTTTTAATGGATTTTCTCTAATTCACCATACATATATTGTGCCTTAATCTTAAGAGTAACTGAAGACATCTTCTCAATACTTTTTCTTAAGGGCCTGTGTCTTTTCTTACCTAATTTACTGTTACCTTTCTTTTAAAAAGAAAGTAAGAAGATTCATAGCTAAGATTGTTAATTGTTGAATGAAATTTTGAAATCATTGTTTATTATTTAGTCATTTACATATGTTGAATTAATAAATGCTTACTGGTTTATAAAATGTTACATAAGAAATTTTTCAATTAGGATACAGAGCCTTGATCTACAGGCTAGTTCTGATTCTCAGTTTATTTTGCGTACTGTTAAGTATGCATTACACTAATTTCCAGTTTAAAAGCAGGATTTTAAAATTCTCTTATCCTAGGGAAACTTAAAGTATAGTTATAACAAAACCTGGTATGCCAGACTGATAGAAAAATAATTTATTCGATTAGAGATGGGTTGCTTTCAGTTTTGTTTTTCTGTTTCATGGATGGTTACCCACACAGTCTAGGGCAGCACTGGGTTCATGACTGAAGACATTGCGTAGACGTTTATGGCACCACAGTAAAGAGAACCCACAGAACGTTTTGTCCTGACTGCCATTCTTTACTCTTTATTGCTACACTTAATTCCCTTTATCTTTCATGTTCAGATTTAATACGCACTGCTTGATACATCAGTTTCGTTTTGTTATGTATAGCGAATGCCTTACTGTCAAATGTTTAGTTTGAAGAGGGCACGAGACACTAGATTTGTTTTCTAGCTATGGTGAGAGAATATCATCTTAAAGCACAGTTAGCACAACTGAGCAAACCTTAAATGTGCACACAAAAAAGTATTTAATAAATATTAACTTTCTTTCTTGTGTTACAGCCTAAATACTGATTTTTCCTGTGGTTAGCAGTCTGTTTCCTAGGTTGGAAATCCAGTTCATAGGAAAGCCTCCACATAGGAATGTTAAATCAGGCTCCTGTCTCTGACAAAAACTCAACTAAAAAAAAATAACCCCAAAACAAGCAAACAAACAAAAGAAGTTTTACATATGGAAAACTCTGAACACATTCAGGTTGTTCAGAGACCTCATGATAAGAGCTCCTGTTCTGGGCCTGGAGAGAGGGCTCAGAGTACCCGCGGTTCAGAGCTGACAGTTTGAGGGACTCTGATGGCCGTCTGCCTCTGTAGACCTGCTCTCACATGTAGCACACACTTACACAGGTAATTATAACTGACGCCCTCCTGTTTTGACTAGTCATGGTTACACAATTTCATGATCCCACTAAGGCAAGAAGAGCACAAATTGAAAGCTAACCTGAGCACAGTACTCTCTCTGCCGGAAAAAAAAAAAAAAAAAAAACAAGCTTCCCATTCTAATTTTGTTTTGGACTACAGCAAAGGAAATTTATTAAGAGCTCTATTAGGAACTTATAAAATATTACTCATGTCCATCCTATTTCCAAAAAGGGCAGTAAAGAGCTCACAAAAAGTGATTGTGAGAAATGACAAAATGAGCTAAAAGGGAAACAAAGATAGGAAACATATGAGACCATGACAATATTTTCCAATTCAAGGTATGATAAGATTTGACCCATTTTTTAAACTCTCTTTTGTCGACTGAGATTTCTGTTCTGCCCAGTTCCCACAGTTGTTAAGTCCCAAAGGAATCACACAGAGGTCTACATTAGTTATAAACTGATTGGCCCATTAGCTCAGGCTCTTTATTAACTCTTATAACTTATATTAGCCCATTATTCTTGTCTATGCTAGCCATGTGGCTCAGTATCTTATTCAGCAAGGCAGTCACATCTTGCTTCTTCTGTGGCTGGGCCAGGACTGCAGAGGAATGGGCTTCCTTCTTCCCAGAATTCTCCTGTTCTCATTGCCTTGCCTCTACTTCCTGCCTGGCTACTGACCAATCAGCATTTTATTTAAAAATATAATTGACAGAATACAGACAGTTGTCCCACACTACTCCTCAGTCTTCATCTGTCTTTCTTCTTTCCTGTGCTGTGTTGCTTTACCTGCAGGTATCTCTCTGTCGGCTTCATTTCTCCTGTGTTCATATCACTGGTTGCCTTCCTTTACTGTGTGCGTTAATCTAGACCATAATGAGATGTTATCTCTAATTGTGTGTGTGTGTGTCTTGGTATGGCTTTATGCACAGGTGAGTACAGGTGTCTTCAGAGTCTAGAAGAAAGCATGGGATCCCCTGGATGTGGGGTTACAGGCACTTGTGACCTGGGTGTCCTGAAATGGAAAGGACTACTCACCTGCTGAGCCTCTCTCCAGCCCTGCATCTAATTTTCATGCCTCCCAGCTGGAGTTTAAAACGTGGTTTAACCGTATGCTCCTATATTAGCATTACCAGAATTACTTGCTTTTTAATAACCATGTGATATATTACTGACATTTTCTGATTTTTTTAATTGGTTAATATTTCCAGCTTTATCTTTAAATTATGTGCTTGAATGTTATGGTAGATTTTAATGCTAAGTAATTATAATTTTAATATTCATAATATTAATCTATTTTGCGTTCTAGGGAGGAAAATTGTAATTAAAAGAAGATGTCTATGTCATGAAAAATGGAATTGGTACTGTACTGGTTTTTATATATAGTGCATATTTCATAGAAGCTGTTATTTTGTTATTTTTTTGAATAAATTTTATTTTTAATATTTTAAAAGAAATCTTTCTAAGATATAATTATATTTTTAATGAAATTAATTAATTTATTATTTTTGGTGAAAATTGCTGGTTTCCTTGTCTTTGCCTTTTACATAAAGATAATGGCTAAAATACCTAATAAGTAAATTTAGTGTTTGTATTTTTAGCCATGCTGCTGAATTATCTGCTGTTTTGTAATGTTTACTTCTTAAGTTAGTAATATGAATTCACTCACTTAATAAGTTCTTCAGACTTGTTGGTTGTTTGATGTTTATCAGGAACTTTATATTTAATTATCAAAACAGCCCTATGAAGTAGAAACATTCTCATTTCTGTTTTCAGATAGAATCATTTTAGATGGTAGAATTACATGTTCTAAAGAAAGTTAATCAGTGCAAGTGTTAAGAGATAGTTAGTGACTCTATTTATACATGGTTAGCACGAAGAACTAGACATTGAAGCCCTTAGTATGTGTCATTAGTCATGTGGGTGCTGGGAGTCAAACCTGAATAACACCGAGTGAGAAAGTCTGGAACCAAAAAGTATATTTGAAAGTTTAGAACACCCAGGATGAGAATAACAGAAACGGTACCCATTGTCAATGACAGAAAGATTAGCTAACTTAAAGACGGTTAAAGAGCAAAGAGCCTATCTGAAGAACCAGAGGAAAAAAATCTTAGCATAAATATGAAAAGAGCATATATAATGTTTGGAGAGCATTAAGGTTAAGAAGAGAAATGGGATGGAAAAGTAGAGTTATAGCTGAAAATACCTCAAATTTAGTGAAAATAAATTAGAACCTATAGACATAAATTCAGTAAAGCTTTAGTAGAACAAACACATACACACAATCCTACTTAGTGGTATAATAGTAAAATCCTGAAAACCAAGTCTCATGTAGGAAGATAGCAATCCAAAAGAGACAGATTTCTAATTATTAATTATAAATAATTTGATTTTTTGACAGTGTCTTATTATACATTATTATGTAGCCCTGGCTGGCCTAGCACTTCCCATGTAGGCCAGGTTGGACTTGAACCAACAGAAATGCTATGTATATGTACACTCTTGACACAGAGGAAGAAATCTTACAATTATTTATGGTTTATTGCTAATAAGCAGCTAAATTTGTGAAATGGAGCTCAAATTGTAGTAGTGTGCTACTGTAAAAGTAGATTTTTAGCTGTAAGTGCTTGTACTAGGTTTTAAAAAAGTTTATAATCAGTGATCCAAGTTTCTATCTTAAGAATCTAGAAAATCAAGCCAAATTAAATCTAAAACCAATTCAAGGAAAGGACAAGTAAAGATAGTAACAGAAGAGGTGCTGGTGCGCAGTCCTGCGGAGCGAGGACTCAGCAGACATCACGTCGTCACGTGTGAGGTGCTAGGGATCACGTGCTATCATTGAGGCAGTGCCATCCTGTGTCAGGAGTGTGGGCTCTGGACCAATTTGGAGCCTGGCTCTGCCATTAAGTTTCTGTGTCACTCTAAATAGGTCATTTAATTCTTCTGTGCTTCACCCCACAACTACATAATATAATGATGGTATCTAACTCAAATGGTCGTTATGAGTATTGAGTAAATCATTATACTTATAACAGTGGTTTTCAACCTCTGGGTTGCAAATCCTTTGGGAATTGAATGACCTTTCCAGAGGGGTTGCCTAAGACCACTGGAAAAATGCAGGTATTTACATTATGATTCATAACAGCAAAATTACAGTTATGGAGCAGTAATGAAAATAATTTTATGGTTGGGGATCACTAGAACATGATGACCTGTATTAAGGGGTCACAGCATTAGGAAGGTTGAGAAACACTGACTTAGAGTAACAGCTGGTATTTAGTAAATGAGTAGGAAATCTCTCCCTTTTACTGTTCTGTAAGATTTCTGTTCTTTAGTTATGTGAAGAAACTACTGAACTTATCAACTGCCCTGGTTTTTCTCTCCTTCAACACTGATACTGTTGCTTTTTGGTACAGAAAACATTAGGTATGTTAGCATGCACCTGTAACCCCATTTCTGCAGAGCTTAGGCAAAAAGATAATGAGTTCTAGACCAGCCCTGGCTACACAGTGAAACTGTTTCAGAAAAAAATAATAAATAAATAAAAAGAACATTACTACTGGAGCTGGAGAGATGGCTCAGTGGTTAAGAGCATTGCCTGCTCTTCCAAAGGTTCTGAGTTCAATTCCCAGCAACAGCATGGAGCTCACAACCATCTGTAGTGAGGTCTAGTGCCCTCTTCTGGCCTGCAGACATACATACAGATAGACTATTGTATACATAATAAATAAATATAAAAAATTAAGAGTTTCATACATGAGTATTATATTTACATCACTTCTGTCCATCCTTTTCCTTTCTCCAATTTCTGCCACATACCCTACTCCCCCACCTCAAATTCATGACTTCTTTTTTATTACTGTTAACTGTCATCTATGTGTCTATGTATATATGCTTATACATAAATGCCTCAACCTACTGTTTAGTATTGCTCATAATTACATGTGTTTAGGGCTGACCGTACCCACAGATAAATCTGGCTCTCTCCGCTCCTCAAGGACATTTCTTTTTGCACCAGGTAGAAACTATGACAGAGATCCACAGTTGGTAAATACAAAGAACATGTGACCGTGGGATGTCCAACCACAGCTGGTTTATCTGCAATGCAATCCCTGCACCAAAAGCTCAGGGATCGTCATAGGGGATGGTGGAAAGGTTGTTAAAAGCCAGAGAACCAAGAAGCCTGCTGTGAGTAGTTCCTTCTAGTTCTGACAGCGAGGCGAGACCCATGAAATCTCAATGGTGATGATGACAATACCAGCCAGTATGCCAACAAGGTTCCACCTCTAGATGAAGGGCCAAAGTCAATCATTGGATGCTCAGAGAGGAAGAATCAGTTCTCCAGGGATAACCTTCCTGATAGGTAACCTGTGTTCTTAATCCTTTGTTGCTTCCTCTAAGATAAGAAACTTAAGCAAAACCTCTTGCCTTTTTTCTACTATGCGAAGGACACATCAAGAAGTACTGTCTGAACCAGAAAGTATACTTTCAGTCTTAAACTTTCCAACTTCCAGTACTGTGGGAAAAACATTTCTGTGTCTATAAGCCTTCCAGTTTGTGGTATTTTATAACAGCGAGAATGGACTAAAACATCTATATTAAATGTCTAATCACTCCAAAACAAAAGAATAACAACAAAAAATCTTTTCCTTAGTCTTCTATCTAGTCTAGCTACCCATCTTGTCATACTTTGAATGGCCCAGCTTCTTTTTATTTTTTAAAAAATTTATTTAACTTTATTTTATATGCATTTGTATAAAGGTGTCAGATTCCCTGGCAGCTGTGGTGATGACGTTGATTCGCGGGTGCAGAGTAGGAGAACCAGGCTGGGACATCCCTTAGGGGACTGAGCTGAAAAACCTTGCTGAGACGCTCCCCAGGGGGCCTCAGCAAGGTGTCTCAGCAGAACAGAGGAACCTTACTAGGACCTTCTTAAGGGGGCTGAGCAAGGCCAGCGGAGGAAAAGAGGAAATTGCTACGTTTCTGCAGGGGGCTTCCCTTTAACAGAGTGTTAGCAGAAGAAACATCTTGGGCTGGAGAAGAAGCAGATAGCTCTACGAGAAACAGAGAACTCAGCTGTAGCGGCTCTCCAGGAGAAGAGCAGGATCCCTCTATCCTTCGGGGAGACCATCCGCCACCGCACCACAGCTTCAGATAGCCTGGCTTTCCCATAGTCAGGACACCTTTCCTCCAGGGCTGTCTCCTTGTGGTTCCACCCCTCCAGAGCTGTCCTATTGCAGTTTTACCCCCTCTCCCAGAGCTGTCCTATTGCGGCTGTACCCCCACCCCAGAGCTGTCGTATTTCTGTTTTACCCCCTCCCCCTGGCTGTCCTATTGTGGCTCTACCCCCCCCACACACACACACACCAACTGTCCTATTGCAGTTCTAAGTATATCCTGGCTTCCTGATAAGTCAGGATATCCCCGCAGTACTACTGTGCCATGTTCCCCTACACGCACCACATCCAGGACTTAGGTAGTGTGTCTGTGTCACTCCAGGTCTTGGCTTTACCCTGATGTGACCACTAATGTTGAATTTCAGGAAACAGTGGTTGTTGTGCATCGTGATTTTGCAGAAGGATGCGTCTTCATTTATTCAATTTTTCCTCTGTGATTCTTAAAGCAAACCTGAAATACTATTGGATTATGTTTATTTTTGAAGCCATTTCTTTCTAAAGGCGGGTGGTGTCTGGGTATGGGTTTCTATTTCAGTTATTCTTCCAGTGGCTTCTCAGTGAACATGGTTCATTTCATTTGGCAAAGCTTTCTCAGAACTTGAGATCATGTGTGCTCCCTGTGCTCAGCCCCAGCAACAATCCTGATCTGGAATCTTGATTAGAGAGCTTATTTTTAGAGTTGTCCATATTTGGTCAGTCTCCACATGTGTGAGAGGAAGTGGTGCTTCATTATGTCTCTGATCATTTTATCCTGAAAGCATTTGAATGCTGGAAGTTTCTCTTATTTATTTCCTTAACTCAAAGCACACCTAGATATGTTTTCTGAACTAAATTTTAGTTTAGTTTTTTGACTTCCTAACAATTCATAGCTTGCTTTGGGATGCAGCAGTTATCACTCCGGGCCACCAAATGAAGCTCTGATTTTCCAAGCCATACTTGCTGCTTTCAAGTGTGTGAATGACAAGATTAATAGTGACGACCAAAATTTGAATAATGCCAAGTGAATTTGGCTCCTTTTTTTTTTTTTTTATGAGAACATCCAACTTCTGGGGTTTTTCCATTTATCAGGTCTCAAGTAGCAGGAGAAGCATCATTCTACAATGCCAAGATTCTGCATCCCTTTTCA